AGGCTCGTGATTGGAGGAAGTCTGTTTGCAGACAAGCTATTTCACTCGTGATTGGAGGCTAGCAATAGGAGGAAGCCTCTTTGCAGAAACAGTGTTGGCAGTTTTGGAACCGCGCGGTTCTCTCCTCGGCTGACTTCCTTGAATAAGACGCCCTTCAATTTTTAGGGTAAGGATTTTAGAAAAAAGTATCGTCTTATAGTCGGAAAAATATGGTATATCCCATCTTTTGTGATATAAGTGAATCTATATTTGATTATTGGAACCGCGCGGTTCTCTCCTCGGCTGACTTCCTTGAATAAGACGCCCTTCAATTTTTAGGGTAAGGATTTTAGAAAAAAGTATCGTCTTATAGTCGGAAAAATATGGTATATCCCATCTTTTGTGATATAAGTGAATCTATATTTGATTATCAAATTTTATTATTTTTGCCACCATATAAAGAAAAAATAAAACATTTCAATGTCCTGAAAATTGTTAACGTGTACATATAATTCCAGTTTTTTTTTCAGTTTACACATATACTGTATGTTGTGATGTATTTTTGTACTAAAATGCACTTTTTTATTTTGAAATGAAAAACTGGAAAAAAGCAAAACAAAAAAAGAACCGATACTGAAACACCTGGTCATTAAAAACACACGTGCACACACACATAGGTGCAGGCTAGGCAGTAACCAATTCTTGTTCTTTGTCAGAAGATGCTGTTGGGAATTCCCTAGAGGGAATTATTTGGCTAGGATCAGGAGCAACCTGCCTGGAAAAGGCAAATAAGGAAGGGCTTCATCTGTTAGTGAAGATACTCTTTTTTCTGTGCTAGCTTTCACCTTTGTTCAAAATGGCAAACTCAAGCTGAGACCGTCAGAATACTTAGCTTTGTCTTTTCATGGTTTAAGCAGAGCTGGAAGTAGTATCTACTTCTGGTAGACTTATTCTGATGGGCAGTATTGCATCTAATTGGAAGAAGCAGTTGCTCTTCAAAAATATTTCCTGGAGAGCTGCAGGGGGAGAAACATTCAAAGCTTTTTTTTTGGGGGGGGGGGGCACC